TTACATTCGGTTTTTATAAAATCGATGGTTTTACTGAATGCTAATGAAATGTCATTGGATTGAATTAACACATTACGAACATTCTTAAATAAAAAAAAGTCAAGATTAGAATATAATTCGCTGTTCTATTTAACTATTAGTATATAGAAGTTTTGCTAAAATTCGAAGTACAGTTCATTTTTAATTTGAACTAACAGCGTACTTTTATTTAAAAGTACGAACTTTTTTATTTGATATACCTATGATTACAACACCTTGTGATATTATAAGTACGTCTGATAACATAGTGTGTACTTTTTCATTCTCAAGTGTTGTTCTGTATCTGTTTTAATCGAGATAAATATTTCTAAAAATAGAATATATTTTTCACCTTTTCCATGTATGGTTTGACGATTTCATTTGCAAATGTTTGTTCAGCAACAGTTTGAAGTGATATAGAAGCTAAACCTTTAAGAGAATCAGCTAATAATGACATATTTGGTTCACGATATGCATCCATAAAAGCTGCTGTTAAACGTTTTTCAAATACTCGACGTAAATTTTCTATAACTGATTTAAGTGATTCAATAGTTGGTTCATTTTGATCACATTTATCTAATTGTATGGAAATAAAACTGAATTGAACAATTGCACGTTCAATCATTTCACTTATATCAATTCTAAAAAACAGTTTTAATTCATAATTAAAAACACAAAAAATAAATCAAATAGAATTTTACTTGGATAAATTTATTGCATCATCAAGTTCATTTAATTGTTGTATTGATTTTTGTACATCAATTATTGATTGAATAACTTGTCTTCGTTTACGAATAATTTCTTGTTCATGTAATTTTTCTTCAATTTGTTTTCTTTGTGCACATAATATTTCATTTATTTTCTATTCAAATAATTATATAATTATTTCGAAAATCTTTTTCATATATATCTTACAGGGGGAAATTAAAACCTAGGGCAATTTAAAACTCTCCTAAGGGGAAATTAGAATTATAGTTTTTTTCTCATACATATTCTAATAAAAGTTGAAAATTTTAATTTGTCCTAGGGGAGATTAAAATTTGAATTTTCCCTAGAGTGTGGGTGTTCTCTTTAGATGAACAAGGGACGCTCGCACCCGCATTCAGACTAGTGGCGGATTTAGGAGGCGCGATGGGGGTGATCGCCCCTCTTCGAATTTTGTTTTTGAGTTTTTACAGTAAAAATGAGCGAAAAAATAGGTTCACGATACTTCGGTTAAACTCAAAAAATAGCTTTTAACCAAAATCGCCTTCCCTCCCCAGGTATCGCCCCTCCATACTCAAAAAATAAAAAATCTCCCCCCCACCTTACAAAATCCTAGATCCGCCACTGATTCAGACACCCACACTTACACCCGCACCCACGCTCTAGGGAAAATTTTATTTTTAATCTCCCCTAGAACAAATTAAAATCTTCAACTTTTATTAGGATATGTATGGGAAAAAACTATAATTTTAATTTCCCCTTAGGGGAGTTTTAAATTGCTCTAGATTTTAATTTTCCCTGTAACATATATTCTTAAACCTTTTCGGTCGGTTATTCGAAAAATGTCTTATTCCCTCTTCGACCGAAAATAGTGGCGTAACCAGGATCGGGCGTCGCCCAATCACCCATTTTAGCTTTGTAACCCAAGTTTCCTTGTGTGCCCCGCTACTCCGTAGGCAGCGCTCACTGTCGCCTAATCATGGTGACGCCACTAGCTGGAAAGGGTTAAGTCTCGTTTTTATATTTACCATAATATCCATTTTCATTACAGTCAATGGATTTTTTAATGTTGTTATTGATTTATCAAATCCAACCTAAATATATTATATGTTCTCTTTCAAAAGAATATCTTTCCCTTACCAAATTAGTTGATAAATTTAAAAAATCTGCAAAATCTCTATTAATTAAATCAACCATATTTGATTGAAGAACACGTAAGAATAAATCTAAATCATCACGTAATTTTTCTAAACCAACTTCTCGTTTATATTTAACAACAAATGCATCAACATTGAACTCCACCGTTGATAGTTCATCCCGATCAAAACAAAATGTTGGTGATTCATCTGGTAATCCCACCATTATATTTATCTAGAATAGAAAAGAAAAAGATAATCAAACTTTTTTTGTTTTTAAAGTTTCATTCTATTATTTATTATTGCCTTTTTTTGTTTATTGAGTAAGTATACAATAAAAAAAACAGTCTATCGCATTGAACAAGCACAAATGGAAATAGAGAAGAAAAGAGAGAGAAAAAAAATAAGTACAAACACAAAAGTTTCAGTTTCAGCGAAATGTTTATAATTACAATTATGGAATGCTTAAATGATTTAGATAGATATATGTATATAATATATATATATATATATTAATTAATTAAATAAGTCTTGATGATTTGAGATAATCAATAAGACAACGATATACAAAAACATATGAATATGTACGATCAATAAGTGACATTCGGTGTTCGCGCATTACTTTTAATACACTTGCTACACTTACTTTCTAGAAGTAAAAGAAGCAGAATTTAATTCAAATAAATAAAAATTATGTTTCCATACTTTATTAAAGGTTATACATTGAATCATAACATGAATAAGAATAAAAATTCCAGTACGGCCAATACTAAAATAATTTATTTAATTGTTGATATGTTATAATCAATATATATTCTTACCCAGCAGTACAATGAACAAGAAATGGATTTGTTTCACCATAATGTCTTCGAAAACTATTCGCTACATTCACAAAATCTAAATAGAATTTTATAGAAAAAATAAATAAATCCGTTTATTTTTCTTACTAATAAATGATGTTGTATCAAGTGGTAATTGCGCATCATCCCAAGCCATATATTGTAAATGAACAATAGTTCTTGTTCGTTGTCCATTAAGAACTTTCATACGTAAATGTCTTATATGAAAATCTTGTCGATGTTGTTCAGAAATTAATTCGATTTCAAATTCATCTGTTCGACATTTTTCATTTTTAGTTTTGGGAAAATAATTTGCACATAATTGAAGATCATTATTAATTAACATAATAATAACATGAACATTACTACCTGATATCATTCGCCAAAAATCATAAACTGTTAATGGTAATGGTGATTCAGCTGCTATATAGGAATAGATTGTATTTTCAACACGAATTTTAACATGAGATGCATTTATATAACCATGAAGATTATCTTTTGTTGGAATTAATCGTACACGTGTATCATCATATGGTATGACATCAGCATAACGATTACGACGAGTATTTTCAGCTAATCGTCCATCTTGATTTGAACTATTGATACGAGAGAGTGGAATTGAATCAAATTCATCATAAATAATATTGTTAGAAAGTTTTGTTTCGAAATCAGATAACTGAAAAATTTAAGAAAATATATAAATAGAGCGTGGTTTTAGTAAGTTTTCATATTTTCATCAACTAGCTTAAATCTCAGTAAGTTGAGGATTTCCACGATATAAATGAATATGTCATCTATACATAGACCTTCAAGGTCGAGTTATCGTACACTAGATACGACTATGTATGAGAGTGGAACTTGATACATTAGAATAAGTAGACTCCTTTCGAAAGTAATCTATAAAATCTCACGATTGTGTCTTAGGAAAAATGTGTTCGACTTTTAGCTTTACAAAATTCATTTTACTTTATCATTACTATTGCACAGTAATTAAAAAATGTTGAATATTATCATTGAAATCAGTTAGATTTAGCATTAGAAGTTAATTATAACCCGATTCCATTCAGCGAGGATATGTTGAAATTGAAAAAATCATGCATTCCTTATATGTGAGCTGAAACTTTTGTTCAGTAAATATTTTAGTCAAGGTAAGTTGCATGTTCATTTTTATTGAAGTAATTCTACAAAGGCAAAGATCCTCAATTTCTACGAGTTAGTTTTTTGCAAGAAAAGATTAAAGCGCGCATACAGCAATCTATTTCTATTAAATATATCTACTGTTTAAACTTTCATTTTTTTGGGAATTTAAAATCTTATAGAGACCATAAATTCCTTATCACAACTTCCTCCAGTCGTGTCCTACAATTTCTCCTTGAAACAAACGTAGAAACAGCTGGCCTCATTGATTCTATGGGTGCTTTGAAAGTCAATAAGGTCAGTATTTGTTCTCATGATTACCATCTGAATAAATAAACTTAGTATCTTAAATTAATTCTAATCGAATTCGGAACATTCCGAATAAATGCCGATGAACTCAAATCTTCGTCATAGCATCGATACTTTTATTGCTTTTTTTTTATATCCCATCATTATAAATCAAATAAAGTGCAAAGATGCATGTATAATTTGAAAATAAAAAACAAGAAAGCAATATTTTATTAAGCAGTTTGTTATCATAAGTCAGTTATGCAATGGAAAGGATTCTCACCTGAACAATAAGTCATTCATATTCTATAATAAGTTTTATAAATCTCACTAATCTTAATAATTATTAAAATTCTTACCCAAGTATCTGTGGGTGCATCATCATGAACACTAACAGTTTCAGCTTCAAGTGGTACCGATGTTGATGAAAGATACGTTCTTGAATTCTACAAAAAAAAAGATTTAATCTATTTTGATTTTATTTCATAATTTTACCAATAATGATCGATTAGTTGTTGATATTGCTGATACTGTTGATGGTGAATGTCGAATTGATTGCTATACAACACAAAAGAAAAAAAAGCCATTAATTATATAAAACAAAAGTATATTTCATGCACATGCCTCAAATATTGTTCCACTCATTCACATGCATATACAAAAAAAAATTTCAACGAAGAATCATATAACAAGGTAAAATCACAAGAAATGAATGTCGTCTCATGGATATATGAGTATATATATAGAGAGAAAGAACGAACAAAATCAACGCGTTATAAAGAATCAAACGTTTGCATTCATCATGCTTTTTTTTT